GAGTCCTCCAGGTAAAGCTGGTGTCCCTAGTCACTGAAGGAAACCTACACCTGGAACTGGGAGCTGAAGGAGGAACCCACACCAAGGAGGGGAGCTGGAAGGTAAGCAACCACCCCACATGGACTTCTGGAGGATAAATACTCTGTTGCTTCTCTCCCACCTTCCAAATCTCAGGCAGAATGGCTCTGGTGGCCCAGCCTCACTGGTACCTACAGCCTACGCTAGTTGACATGTTGCTAAGCCACCAGACCAGCAGTTCTCAACCTGTGGGTCGCAACCCCTTTGGCGGTCAAACGACCCTTTCACAGGGTTCGCCTAAGACCATCCTGAATATCAGATATTTACATTACGATTCATAACAGTAGCAACATGACAGTGATGAAGTAGCAACAAAAATAATTGTATGGTTGGGTCACAACATGAGGAACTGTATTTAAAAGGCCAGAAGGTTGAGAACCACTGCACCAGACAGTTCACGTCAAGATTTGATCAAGTGAGGGGGATAGGTACACAGGTGTTTATGTCTCTGCATATTCTCACCTGAATGCTTCAATTACTTTACAACTCGAAAGTAATGTAATGTGTGAATCCATGTAATCATTGCAGAAGTCCTATGCAAATGATGTTCAAATCCACTCCCTGACCAAAAAAGTTACTTTTGGAAGCCAGTTAAAACATTATGTAAATGAATAGCCTTTCCAGTGAATAAATTAACAGGCCCGGTGGAAATGATCCTGGTGATTCCAATTTCATCTGTCTTCTTAAGTGTTTGCACAGTAATACCATCCCTTAGCATTACATTAGCAGCGGAGATAGAAGATAGGTTTTTGCTTGAAATTGGATTCCTGGGGACTCATTACACAAAATTAAACTGCAGTCGTTACGCAGAATGAACTATGGAGCTTGTAAACCAATAGACAAGTATTTCAGAACTCTTCCCTGTTGGCTACACTTTTTATTTGAGCTGGAAGGGACTGTGAAAGCCTATGCGTTTAAAAATCATGTACGTATTTTACAATGTGCTGTGCTGAAGCCAAATAAAAACAGTGTTTGAAATATTTTAATCATTCTGAATGGGCTTCAGCAATGATGAAGCATTCATGAAGCTGGCATTGCGATCATATTCCATTTATTATAAAATATGAGCCAAATGATAAGTAAAAACTGTACAAATTAAAGCTACTGTTGCTTCCCTATTTAATAAGCAATCAGGAAAAAGGACAGACAGCAGGCTTGTCAGCTCTGTCCCCTGTGTTGCCATCTAGACCCTCATTTCAAAGTCAAAATACATGATTTCATTGCCGAGAACATGCTCTCTCCAGGTAGGTAGGTGGTCACCTGCAAGTGAGGTCAGCCGAGCAAACAGCCACAAAAGTGAAATTGTTTACATGCCTGCCAAGTCCTTTTCTGGGTTGTTGGGATTTTATTTAGGGTTTTTCCAGTTTTGATTGGACTTTGGGCGTGTTATATATATATATTTTTTAATATATTTTATTGATTTTTTACAGAGAGGGAAGGAGAGAGATAGTTAGAAACATCAATGAGAGAGAACCATCGATCAGCTGCCTCCTGCACATCCCCCACTGGGGATGTGCCTGCAACCCAGGCACATGCCCCTGAGCGGAATCGAACCCGGGACCCTTCAGTCCGCAAGCCGACGCTCTATTCACTGAGCCAAACCGGTTTCGGCGGGCGTGTTATATTTTAAAAATTTCCCTGGCATATAGAATTACAGTCTAGTCTAAAATGACTAGAAATGTCAGGAACATGGTAAGTATGCAGGGCTTTCCTTAATTCGAATGTGGGGTGAAAATATTTAAAATCAGAATTTGTTATTTTGGCTTCGTAACAATAATTGAGTGAATTCTGCATCTTTGTGTTGAATGTTCTGTAATTACTCAGCTCTGCTTTTAGAATGGCCCCGGTCTTATCTCGCTGTTCTGTGATCCTACCAGCTGGCGATCATACTGTTAGCATTTTGCTATAGATCCTTTCGCTCTTTTTGTCTGTGAGGGGCATATTGATTAGGACCCATTTGCTTTGCATGAAATTTATATAATGATTAAAGTTGGGTAGTTTCTGAAAACATTTTTTGTTTTCAGATCATACTTTACCAAAGATTTGGAAATGCTAATGTTTTCACAATATTTAAACCTAGAAAAATAACAAAAAACCCCACAAGCAGTGCTAATTAACAAATATGATCAAATGCCCAGAGCTGTTGTTACCTGTATTCAGAGGTGGAATGCCCACCCCTGCTCCCCAAAACACCCAAATCCAAACAACATAATTAAAAGTGGATATGGGTAAAGACAAGATTATTGTTTCATTTAAGCATACCACCTGGCACTTTTGGGGTGTTAAACACAAAAAGATGTCTCCTTTGATTGCTACTTCTTGTCTATTGGCAGAGACTCTAAAATTAATTTCCTAAAACTGGGTTGGAAAAATGAAAAAGTACTATATTTGAAATGGGCAAAAATAATTTGAATTATACTTTTGAAACAGTAGAATGAACCAAATTCATGAATAGCTGACCATCACTCTTTGGACAATTTGTGGCCGTTTATCCTCTCGTATACATCTGTCCTCTAAGCATTTTCCCCAAGACAGACATCAGTATGACCCTATGACATAGGGCCCTGTGCTCCAGTGACCCTTCTAGTCATGATTCCTATACAGATGCCCCGAGTGACAGAAAGGAAATAAGAGAAACCCATGATCTTTGCTTCGGTTGGGGGGTGAGGTGGCCTTTGCTGGTCCAGAGGGTGGTGATGGCTTGTAATTGGCCAGTTGAAAGCTCAGCACCATTATTCCTAAAGCATCATCATTCCCATTGTTTCCTGAAGCATGTGGTGCCCAGAGCCGTGTGGTGGAAGGGCTGCGGGGTCACTGTGAGCTGCTCGGGGGCTCCCTTTGCTGAGAAAGGCGAATGGAGTGAACCCAGGGTAAGGGAAGGATCTGCATCCACGTGTGGTGTGGAGGGGAGGGCAGAACGGCGTCTAAGAATCAAGCCTCTTAGGTCAGCAGTGGCCAGGACGGCCCTTCTATTTTGAGGGATTGACAAATGCAGTCTGGGGGACATTTTCACAAACCAAGAGGAAGGCAGGGGGTGAGGAGAGGATGGAGAGCAGGCAGGAGTGAGGAGAGGATGGAGTGCAGGCAGGCAGGGGTGAGGCGAGGAGAGGATGGAGTACAGGCGTGTGCGGGGAGGCAACGAGGAGCCGGCCATGAAGTGACAGTTTTGTTCTCCAGCTCTCCCCAAAGACTTCATTTTCCAGCTGTAGCTCCCCATTTTGACTCATTTGAAAACTGCCTTTGTGATTTTGTCCCCTGAATACCATCCCCAATGGGGGTCACCACAACATGAGGAACTGTATTAAAGGGTCGCGGCCAGCCAAGGTTGAGAACCACTGCTCTAAAGTCACTGTGAGGCCCCACAGTCGTCTATGCCCCCAGACTTTAAAAAGCTGCGCTCACATGACGCTGGGGGACATTTTCACAAACCAAGAGGAAGGCAGGGGGTGAGGAGAGGATGGAGAGCAGGCAGGAGTGAGGAGAGGATGGAGTGCAGGCAGGCAGGGGTGAGGCGAGGAGAGGATGGAGTACAGGCGTGTGCGGGGAGGCAACGAGGAGCCGGCCATGAAGTGACAGTTTTGTTCTCCAGCTCTCCCCAAAGACTTCATTTTCCAGCTGTAGCTCCCCATTTTGACTCATTTGAAAACTGCCTTTGTGATTTTGTCCCCTGAATACCATCTCCAATATTACTCATTCTTCTTTAGATTAATGTCTCCTGCTCCCCGTAGCCTGGTCTCAAGTACTGGAGCCACGTGTCTGTGCTTTGTTTTTTCTGATGCACATTAAAATAAACACGTGGTTGTTTAAACAAAGTGTTCACCCTGTCTCTCTAAAGCAGTGGTTCTCAACCTTGGCTGCACATTAGGATCACCTGGGAATCTTTTTAAAATCCTGATTTCTGGGCCTCATCCTCCGGAAATTCTGTTTCTTTGTTATGGGGTGGGGCCTCATCATTAGTCACAAAGAAACAGACTTTCCGGAGGATGAGGCCCAGAAATCAGGATTTTAAAAAGATTCCCAGGTGATCCTCACGTGCAGCCAAGGTTGAGAACCACTGCTCTAAAGTCACTGTGAGGCCCCACAGTCGTCTATGCCCCCAGACTTTAAAAAGCTGCGCTCACATGACCCTCCAAAAACCAGGGGTTCAAAGTCACCGAATGATGGAAGAACCCAGGGCCTTGGGAGCTCGAGTACGGGGGTAAAAAGTGTATTTTTAAAGGGGCGCCCAGGGAAATGCCTCAGTTCCCCCCAGGAGTACTCAGCCCTGGGCAGGCAGCCGGAGCAGCGCGTCAGCCTGCCACCTGGAAGGCAGCCCAGGGAGAGTTTCCTGGCCGGAGATCGCCCCACCCTCATGAAAGCCTGTAACAGGACCCCCCTAGCTCGCCTCAGATGTTAGGCAGTTCTCGGTGTAACTGGTTCAGGTGGCATCGAAGACAAGCCAGGAAAATAGTGGCTGAGAAAGAGGGGGAGACAGCAGGAGGTTGGGTCAGAACAGGAAAGTCTCAGCTTGTTTTTCTAAGAAAACAAAACACGTTTGAAAATGGGTCTGCTGGTGCCCACCTAGCTCGGTGAGCCTCCTGGGCCGCGCTCCTCCCACTTTCTTCTGTCTTGTATTTGCTGTTGCTTAAAGCTCTCTTACGGAAATCTAACACCCAGGAGCAGAAAGCACGTAAGCAAGAGTGGTTCTGCTGTCTAAAACCCTTCCTATTACTGCCTGACTTGGATACACCGCTGAGAAAAACCTAGCTTGACAGTGCCAACTTGCTTGTGACATGTTTTTTCAACCTGTTTTCTGTTCGCTCATGCACAGCACAAACGCTGCTTGCTTAGTGCTTGCGGGGACCAGGCATCGTCTCAAAGTTCCCAAACTGCTTTCATCCAGCTCCCTTCCTGAGAAAAAACCACACCCACACAACAGCAGGTGATGAGAAACGTGTCTTTATTAGGTGATTTTTAAAGGCATTTCTGCTGGGGGCCTTACGGGAGTCGTCAGGGCATACCCACCACCGGAAAGTCTTGAACGACTAAAGTCTGTTACCTCACTAAACACCGAGCGGGTCGCAGGAGCGTTCCGGGGGAATTAATAAATAAATTAGGGGGAAGAGGTGGGGTTTCCCATTTTCCTGGGGTTTTGGAGGCCTTCCAGCTGATTGTGTCTATCTCCATAGTCTGGGTTCTTTAAGAATGTACCATTTCCTGGAATTCTAGAACAGAAGAGGTGAGAACAGGGTCAATGGAGATGGCTCAGTACTTTACAGACACTGTGGCCCATGAGAGTTCTGAAGAGGAAAGAAACGGAGTAAATTTCAGGTGATGGGCATGGCCCCCCAAAGAGCACAAAAGGAAGAGAGTGTGTCACCAACCACAGTCCAGATAGTCTAAGTCAGTGGTTCTCAACCTGTGGGTCGCGACCCCTTTGGCGGTCGAACGACCCTTTCACAGGGGTTGTCTAAGACCATCCTACATATTCGATATTTACATTATGATTCATAACAGTAGCAACGTTACAGTTATGAAGTAGCAACGAAAATTTTATGGTTGGGTCACAATATGAGGAACTATATTTAAAGGGCCAGAAGGTTGAGAACCACTGGTCTAAGTGTTTCCTCTTCCTGCCTAACCCTCCTTTAACCACCTCCCTGTAGCTTTGCTTGTATTAGAACCTGCCCACCTGTCCTCTCTCCATGGCCAGGAGTGAATTCGGTATAATGGCCAATCACAATCTGTGAACTTTTAACTTTATGTCTGGTCAGTTTAAGATGGAAATGGGAGGTTTTCGTCTATACTGTAGCTACATTTTGCATTTTGGAAACATTTAATAAGGTGAGAATTTGAACTAACTTTTCTCTTTGAATCTTAACCATACCCCCCAAAGCTTATATTACTAAAAGATAATAATAATCTATACTAATAAAAGGGTAATATGCTAATTAGACCAGAAGACCTTCTGGGAGATTGTCTGGATGTCCTTCCGGACAAAGCCATAGTGGTGGGGCCAAGGCAGAGGCAGTTAGAGCAATCAGGCCAGTGGGGGGGTGGGGGGGCGTAGTTGGGAGAGAGCAGGCTGGATCGTGCCTAAACCAGCAGTCGGACATCCCCCGAGGGGTCCCAGATTGGAGAGGGTGCAGGACAGGCTGAGAGACACCCCCCCACCCCCATGCATGAATTTTGTGCACCAGGCCACTAGTACTATTAATAATGATGATGTAGATGCTCTGGAGAGGAATTGAAAACTGGGGATTTACTTCATATTTATTAGTAAGCGTTGCCTATTTTGGAAGTCTTTCATGGTTAGGTTGAAAAAATCAGTCTCTCCTTACCTAAACCATTTTCCCGAGTTATTTACAGAAGCAACACCAACTCCCAGTGTGGACAGTTATCGTGGCATCATTTTGATTAGATTTTTAAAATAAGGATCTAAAGGAGCAGTTTTTAATTTCAAAAGAATGCCACCATAAGGACTGCACGTACCTTCTGCGTTGGCATGTACACACAGTAGCCAGCGAGCACATGAGCAACAGGACAAAATCCTACGAACACAACCCTGCAGCCAGACAAGGATGCTAACAGTGGCATGCGGACTCTGCTCACAGAAGGCTCCAGGAATGGGTTTCAACCGGTTTATGTGGTCTCTGCATAACATTGTCCATTTCGTGGGCTAATATCCAGTCAAACATATTTGTTTAAACCCTTGAAAGCTAAGAGGCTTTCCTACTCTAGACAATAGGCCCTTTAAAGTACAGACACTCTTGAAAATGTCAATCCTTCCCTCGTTCAGAGGGGCTCAGATACCTCAGGTGGGAATTCCTTACCCTGTTTTCAAAGCACATGAAGCTGTCTTGCACATAATTGGCCAGGCAACTCGCTAGTCCCCTAGTCAGGTAAAGGACATTTTCTGGTTCATAGACAGTGACCAGCAGGAGCAGCTTCTATGGTACGGCCTTAGCCACGTGCCAGTCTTTCCTAACATCAATTGCACCCTCACTTGAGTCCCATTTTACAGATGAAAAGACTGAGGCTCAGCAAAGTTAAGAAAGGGGGCTTTTAACCCACATCCATCTGCTCTCACGGCCCAAGTCCCCTCATGCTCCTTGCGCTAGTCTCATGCTCTGTGCAGGTGTGAACTTACCGTCAGCCCCAATTTTTCCATCGCCGTCGTTATCTGCAGCCGCCATCAGGGACTTGGTTTCTGTCTCGGTCAGCTCTCGAGCACCACTCTCAAACTTCTGGAGGAAAAACCTACGGGGTAATAGAGACCCAGGGGGAGTTTCTGAAAGACCAAGCGCTTCCCGCTTACCCTTTCCTTTCCTCTTGAAGCAACAAACCCCTGTTCCCAGCAATTTCGGTCATCAGTCCGGGTGTTAGCAAGCAAAGGTCTCCTTCGTTGTAGAAAATATTTGCTGGGCATTTGGTTTCAGAAATTTTTTTTCAGAGTTTTGTTGATAAGTCCATTGGCCAAAGAAAACCCCTAAAACTAGCTCATCTTGGCCCCTCCAGTCTTAGGTGCCCGTGTTTCGGCATGTGACCGGCCCACTCATGTCCTTCCCTTTCTTGAGGCTGCTGAATGGCCGGCATCGAGGCTGGCCCATAAAGAAATACCGAGCAACTGGCCTCCACTGCACCCCATCCCCACTAGCAACGTCGGGGTGCCAGACAGGCTTAGGACAGGCTTAGGCTTACTTAAGCTCTTCTTCATCCAGGTATCCACTCTGGTCGTTGTCTATGAACCGAAAGACATCCTTCACCTGACTGGCCGACATCTTGGAGAGGCCTGATGTCTGGAAGAATTTTTGGGGCTCGAAAGTATCTGGGTCTGAAGAACAGAGAATGGGTTATTCTGGTGCTCACGGGACCGCATCCTGTGTTTGGGCCGAGATGCTGAAAACATGGGTTATTAAAAATAAGAGTCTCATTGAGCCACAGGGATGCTCTGCTCAAAAAAAGTAAATCTTTTTAAAGACAGAGAGGGCTGTGACTGGTTCAAGAGTCTTCAGCATCCAAGCCTGGATGGCTTTGGGTATCGTCTCCTGCCCCCGCCCCCAGCTTTCCTCTCCACTTGCTTTGCCCCTCTCTCCTCTGCTCCCCTCTGCCTCCCCTGCCCATTTTACAGCTGTGTCTCCAAGACCCGGGCACCCCTGGTCTCCTCCGGGAGGGAAAATGCAATTGTTGGAGTCAGATAGGTACATAGCAGCCAATGACCTCTTTTCTCGCTGTGAGTTTATTTCGCCTTACAGAAATGAGATCTCATGTCCCTAGAATCTTAGTTAATCAAGAGCAGTTTTATTCTCTGATCCCATGAACTTTCGGCAAAGTTCACATGTTAATTTTTTGGGACTTTGCCGGAAGTGCGAGTACAAGAGAAAACCCCGCCCGTGCCTCAACCACCCTTTACCTTGGCACTCCTGCAGGGCGGCCGCAATGTCTTCCGCACTGAGGACATCTGTGATGCTCATTGTTCACCTGTCCGCACGGGATAAGGGACATCTGGTGAGTGGCGGCAGGAACAAGCTCGTCTTGGGGGATCCCCCTCTTTAGCCCACGGAAACAGTACATTCATGGAGAACTTGAAAAATGTAATCAGCGTGGTATGAAGTGATGGGACAGAGTCTCCAAACAGACACCAAATACTGAGAAGATCCCAGCCATCTTTGTCTCAGGGCCCTCTCCGGAATATACCCCGAAGATGAAATTTAAAGCACAACCTAAAAATCAATTTGATTTCATTTTCTTATCAAAATTATATTTCCATAATTGACCTTTTATATAAGCATCTACAAACCATTGCGAAGTAAAGCATGTCACAATTGCAGTAGCATCTTCCTGCACCAGCCAGAGAAATGCAATGTTGCAGATTCCACAGGGAAAGGATAGACCTCCTGTGGGAGAGATGCTGTTTCTCCTGAAGGATGGGAATCAGAGACATGAAAAGCCCATCTTCCGGAGATCAGAATCCTCCCAGGTGTCAACGCCATGGGAACAGAGCAATCTGAGCACAGCATGCACCAGCCTAATAAGGATGCGTAGGAAAGAAGAGTCTGGGGTCTGGTAGGTCCACCAGCTACTCACCGTTTTAGATTTCCCCCCAAGAAGAATCAGAAAAAAGAGCTGAAGGAGCAAAAAACACGGATGTGCTTTTGCGTCCTTACTGACCTACCTTATATAGGATTGAAAAAGTGATAGTAAGAACCTCTTAGATTTCCTTTTCAAGGATCAAGTGGACGTAGCTCGAATGTCTTGCCTTACTAATTAAACCTCTTTTTTTCTTCTATTTATATCTCAAGGGAAGGTGGGTGGGAACAGCCAATTTTTAAAAACAAACCTCAACAAACCTTAAGGCATCAGTTCTGCAAACAAACCCCTCTGTGAAGCCTGGAGAAGGCACTAGAGGCCAGGAAGCGGCCGAAATGAGGTGAACGCACAAACTATAAAGGGCACCCCACATGCTAGTGGCTGCCACCTGGCGCAGGCCTGTTGTTAACCTCTGCGACTGTGGCCGTGGGGGGCCGACCTCAGTCCAGAGTTGAGACTCAAAGTCGGTGTGTCAGATGGACACAGGACTTGTCCAGAAAATGAACGATCCCGGGTAGATGACTTTCTAGAAGAGCCCTGACTTTGCTATTTCCCAGCTGTATCTTCAGTTGTACACACTAAAAAGGCAGCAGGGAGGGGGGACCTCCCACCATTTCCAACCCCATGGCTAACATTGGCAGCAAAAACATCAGGCCAGGACTTGAGCCAGCAAGATGATTGCATTGAGCAAACATTGAGTCCCCTCTATGGCTAGGCTGTGCCAGACTCTTTTTTTTTAATTGCAGTAAATAAACACATTTTTAAGTATACCTACAGTACAGTAGCATTAACTGTAGGCATGTGGTTGGTTGTACAACAGATCTCTAGAACTTCTTCTTGCCAAACTGAACTTGACGCCCATTGAACCAGAACTCCCCATTCTCCCTCCTCCCAGCCCCTGGCAACCACCATCTGCTTTCTGTCTCCAGGAGTCTGACTGCATTAGATGCCTCCTACAAATGGAATCGTGGTGTGTTTGTCTTTTTGTGACGGGCTTATTTCACTTGCATAATGTCTTCATCCAAACGGTAACATATGTCAGGATTTCCTTCTTTTTAAAGGCTGAATCCAAGTTTTTTTAAAAGTCAAAAACCAGGCCCATGTTGCAATCAGAAATATTCAGTGGCGTAGAAGTAGACAATTCAAAGGCTCAAGGGAGAGGCCTCAGACCCCTCCGTGGGTAATGTCATCTGGTTGGTCATCTTCAATTTGCCCCAAATATATTCTCTGCCCCCACCCCAGCATCAGACTTCAGCTCGTGTTAGCAATAAAAGTTTCTCTCAGGAACATCTACCGCAGTTCTTAAATTACCAAACCTCGGGCCAAGAACCGCTTCTGTCCTGCCCACATTAAATGGCCCAATGCCCACTAGCATAGTGCCTGACCTGTTAGGTGCCCAGTAGTTATTTGATGGATACATAAAAACAGCAACACACACACACACACACACCCCAAAACTCAACTTGAAAACAGGATTACCAGCTAGCATCAACTTGCCTAACTCTTAAAAAACAGTTTCTGAAAATAAGTCTCAAGAGTTTTAATTCCGCTTCCTGACATTACGTTGCCATGGAAACTCGCTGAGCCTTTTCTTTCCCCAGGGAAGGCTTTATGATTGTCCATAAAGATTAAAAAAACAACAGAACAAAACACAAAAAACCCTGCCCACTTAAATGAAAATAGCATATGAGTTAAACCAAGACACGTGTTTTTCTGGTAGAAAATAAAGATAGCAGAGAGTTAGTAAACGTCATTTAAATCAGCACAATAGCCAGATTATGACTTGAATTCCACTGTGCGCAATCCGGGGTAAAAACGTTGATTCACACAAAAGGACAAATAATCTATGATTCCACTATCTGAGGCACCTGGAGTAACGTTTGCAGAGACATTAAGTAGAAGGGTGGGTGTCGGGTGGGGGAGGGGGATGGTGAGTACTTGTTTAATGGGTGTAGAGTCTCAATTTGGGAAAATGAATGAGTTTTGTGGATGGATGGTGATCATGGTTGCACATCAACATGAAAAGCCACAGAACTGTACACTTAAAAGTGGTTAAAGTGGTAAAGTTCATATATATGTGTATTCTACCACAATAAAAACAATGCTGATTCAGTAGTCTTCATTATTTTGGCCGCCGATTCACAACCGCTCCCAGGAAAGAGCAGGAGGCAGATTCAGAAGTGGGTCTTAATCCGAGCCCCGGATTAAGGCACCTGGAGTAACGTTTTTTTACCAGCGTGGGCTTCTGGGCCTCAGTTTCCTCTTGAAAATAGGAGTCCTACAAGCACCTGCTCTGTCAACTCCCCAGCGTTCTTCTCAGGATCAGGGGGCCAAGTGCAGGTCTGCAGACGTCTGGAGAGGGCTGAGTCCCCTGATGAACCCCATCCCTGTCCTGGGATCACAAGAGGATTTCATCTGTGTCCATTCTGCTCCATTCGTGGGGGCTTCCAGAGTGGAAGGAGAAGATGCTGGGATCGGCTAGCAATGTCTGCAGCGGGGAAGTCAGGGTGTGTGTTTGGGCTTTGCTACTGCCAATGGCCCCGGACTCTCAGATCACACTTCTGTCTCAGGTATTTGATGCTCCAGCTGACCACCTGTTCTAATGCAGATCCCCAATGTGCCTCTTAACCCACAGACTTCCTCCACCCAGGGCCCCCACTCTGATCACCTGCTGCTTCTGTAGCCCTGTGATATCTCTCCACCCATGCTGGCCTCACCCATCTCCTGGCTCACTGGCCTTTCCTAGGTGCCACCATGGCCTATGCCCACCTTGTTGGTGACAAATCTCTTGAACATGTCTGAAGACCACGTTTCAGTGTGTTTGCCACTTGCATATTCTCTCAATAGATGTCACCTCCTAAGCATTCCTCAGCTTGTCTTCTTTCCACACCTCACTCTCATCACCCTAGCCCAAGCCACCGTCATCTCTTTTGGGAACAGCTGCACTGCATTCCTAACTGGCCAGCCCTCATCCACTTGGACTCCCCTCCAACCTGGGTGGGTGGATCTTTTTAAAGCCCCAGTGTGTGAGTTTCCTAGAGCTTTCACAATAAAGTACCACAGATTGAGTGGCTGAGAATAAGAGAAATCTATTGTCTCAAGTTCTGGAGGCCAGAAGTCTGAAATCCAGGTGTTTCAAGGCCCCCTCTGAAGGCTCCAGGGAGGGTCCTCCTTTGTCTTTTCTAGCTTCCTGTGTTTGCTGGCGATCCTTGGCATTCCTTGATTTGTAGCTGCCTCACCCAATCTCTGCCTGTCGTCACATGGCCAACTTCTCCCTTTGTGTCTGTCTTCTTCTTAAAAGGAATTTCCCAGGAAATTCTAAGGGATTTAGGAGCCCCATATCAGGAACCAGAGTCAAAGACAAAATATTAGAATAAAAGGTGTTCCTAGTGCTTTTACCACCTAGGAAATTACAAGGGTCTCAGGAGCTCTGTGTCAGGAACTGGGGACAGAGACTAATATAAATACATTCTGTTATCTCACATCTATATGATGAGATCTCAAAGGCTCTATAACATACACATTCATTTTATATTTTTTCCAAGCCAGTAATATTTATTCAATTAACTAGCCAATCATTTAAATTAATAATGTTTATTCCTTGTGCCAGGCACATAACAGGCACTCCATAGTAATTTATTGAATCAGTGAATAAGAAAATTGATGTGCTATGAGCTTGGGTAAATTCCCCAAAATCAGATAGCTGGAAAAGTCGGAACAAGGGTGGGCTCCCACGTCTCCTGACTGTGTGTCTATTTAAGGCCATCCTAATCTATAAAAAGCCAGGGGCCGTCATGACTGAAACAACCAGGCGGACAACTGAACAGTAGGCTGCATGGGGTGACCAGGCTGGAAGGGGGAGCAGAGAGCGCCAACCAAACAGCTGGCTGCATGGGGCAACCAGGCCAGAACACGGGACAGTGAGGGATGACCAAACGACTGAACAGCAGGCTGTGTGGGGCAACCAGGCGGGCAGAGGGGGGCAGTTAGGGGCGATTAGGCAGGTAGGCAGGTGAGCACTTAGGAGCCAGCAATCCAGGATTGTGAGAGGGATGTCCAAGGGGTCCCGGATTGGAGATAGTGCAGGCTGGGCTGAGGGGACCTCTCCCCCGCCCTCCCATGCACAGATTTCATGCACCAGGCCTCTACTGTCCAGATAAGAAGGTGAGGCTTTAGAACAATCTCCTGGGTTTTGGATCTGGCTCTGATATCTGAGGTCTCCAGAACTTTGGGGTGACAGTGCCCCTTCCTGGAAGTTTGTCCTACTGGATGGTTTTCCCTGGGGTCTGATTCTCAGAGGGATGCCTACCCAATTCAAGGGGCCCCCAGCACCCGCATCCTGGGGGAGAGCAGATAGAGAAGAGGGGGTCCTGGAGCAAGAGCAGCAGCCCTCCTTATGTTGGGTTTAGTTGCGATTTCTCAATTAACTCACTCAGTGTCCATTAAATGTTGCCTCCAGCCCAACGGTAAATTGAGACGGTGATGCTCACATTTCTCGTTCATGAAAAAATCAGTCTTCTAACGCATTTTGTTTCTTTTCTCCTCTAACATTTCATACTTGCCTGAGCAGTTTGGGGCTCTCCTCATATTTTTGCCCTTGGTCAACAATCCGTCAGTTGATCAAATAAATGACAGGTGGTCAGATGGCAAAAACTCCAAGGACAGGTTTTTAGTGAAAAAACAAAAAAACACTCAGGAGCTTCTTGCCAAGAAGTCCTTGAACGTGGTAACCATGGGGCGGCTCCCGCCCCTGACCCAGAATGGTGGTGATGGTGGCTGTAGCGGTAGCTGTCCTTAACAGTATGAGGAGGGTGTGCTCCGGAATCCCAGCTCTTCAGTGGAGGAAGCTGGAGTGGAATAGCTGGGTCGTATGGTAGTTGTAACATTGTAAGACACTGCCAACCTTTTTTCCAAAGAACATTGAATTCAGGAGGGAAAACATGTTGAAAGGTAACTAAGAGCCCATGAGAACTGCTGAGCACTCAGGCAGCATATTTCTGAGTTCCAGTGCCTCCAGACCCTCACCAACACTTGGCATGGTCGGGCTTCTTAATCTGGGACATTCTCGTTGGTGTGCAGTGGCGTCTCATTGTGGTTCGAATCTGCATTTCCCTAATGACTAATGAGAAGTGTCTTTTCATGTGCTTATGCTATAGACCGAACATTTGTGTCTCCCCAAACCCTCAATTCATGTGTTGAAATCCTTTGTGGATGGTATTTGGAGGTGGGGCCTTTGGTTGGTGATTACATCATATGGATGGAGCCCTCATAAATGGGATTAGTGCCCTTATATTTTTTTTTATTGATTTAGAGAGGAAGGGAGGGTGGGGGGAGAGATAGAAACATCAATGAAAGAAAAACACAAACAAAATAGTGATGAGAGAGAATCATCAGTCAGCTGCCTCCTGCATGCCCCCAACTGGGGATTGAACCTGCAACTTGGGCATGTGCCCTGACAGGGAATCGAATTGTGACCTCTCTCGTGGGTTGACACTCAACCACTGAGCCACACTGGCCAGGCTAGTATCCTTATTAAAAAGATCCCACAGAGCCCCTCACCTTCCGCCACGTAAGGAAACTACAAGAAGCTGGCTGGCTGTGAACCAGAAAGTGGGCCCTCACCAGTCACCAGATCTTCCCGTACCTTCATATCAGACTCCCCAGCCAGCCTCCAGAATTGTGAGAAATAAATGTCTGGGGGTTTATTTAATTTTTATTTTTTTCCTTTTCATTTAATTTATTGAGGTGACACTGGTTAACACTGTATAGGTTTCAGGTGCACAATTCCACAACACATCATCTGTACACTCTATCGTGTGTTCACCACTCCAAGTCAAGTCTCTGTCCATCACCATTTATCCCCCCTCTCCCAGCAGTCACCACACCGTTGTCCATGTCCATGAGGTTTTTCGCTTTTTCTTTCTTTTATGCTCAATCTCTTAAGCCTGAATGAACTAAAGACAGTTTCTTTGCTATACATATTGTGAATTAATTCTAAAGATAGGATCAACAACAGCATGTTTATATGCTAATGGAGAAGATTTATTAGGCAATGAAAAATTGATGATGGAGCAGAGGGAGGGGTACCGAAAGGGGATGGGACCTAGGGACACACGGAGGAGCTGCTACAGGAAGGACACAGCCAGTTTATCTTACAGAAAAGGAGAGAAGGCAGAGTGTGTGGGCAGCAGAGGCTGGTAATGGGCTAATAGGGACAGGAAGCCAGGTCATCTGCTGAGGACGGAGGAGTGTGGGGTTTGAGGAGTGAAAGAGTGGTCTGGGAAGTGAGAGAGAGAGCTAGAGAGGTAGAGTATGATCTCCTGGCTGGAATTTTTCTTGCAGGAGATCTTTCAGACTTCAACGACCTCAAAAAGTGACAGGCACTGTGGGTAGTTTGATACCACTGGACATGACCTGGGCTTCCCATTAACCAAATTTGGTGTCATCCTGACCCAGTCACCTGATCTAGTCACCTTGAGCCTCTCTGTAGGTGCTCGCGGTTCTTTTTGGCCAGTGTCAGCACAACTGAGCAGTATGATTCGCAAATGCCTGAATTATTCATGCTTTTGACCTATTCTAATGAGAACTTTGCCCAAAAGGCTAAATTATTAAGCACCTGGGTGCAAGCTTGGAGGACACCGTCTAGAAAACGGGGCACCATGAATTTTCTTGCTGGTTTTGCTTCTTAAGAGAGTTGAACTTTTACTAACGATTGTCCCCCAAATAAAAACGGTGATGCCCGGTGGCATTAACATCCTAGGACACAGAGGAGGAGCGAGAACCCGACTCGTTAGGAGAGAGCACTGACCCTTACCTGCCCTTTGAAAGCCGGTGCTTTTTAGAACATTGTGAATATGGTTGATGGTGGCTGCGCCATTCCCTCAGCTCCAGAG